TCCCAAGTGAGGCTGGATATAGGAATGGTATTTGTGAAATCCTCCCCTATCTTCTTAAGGTTGTGGCAATATTTTGATGGATCATATTTTACAATGTTATCCAAAGTCAAGGAACAAAATCAGTTTTAGGAAAACCTATCAATCTGGCAAAATGACAAGTCATTTATCTTCATTTACCTTCAGTTTCCTATCAAACAGAATGAGAACTTCACCAGGTGACCTTTCAGGGTCTAAGAAATCAAGGTTTTAGTGAGATTTCCCAAGTTAAAACCAAGTACCAGAACTGTTAGTTGGAAGAAAATTCTCAAACTGTATGAGATATTACAGCAAACCTATTCAGATTATATTCTAGGCATATAGCCCCAAGACTATTTTCTGTAAATCACAGAAATTCATCCACTGACCTAAAACTACAAAGTAGAGTTCTGGGTTGAGGGGAACTCAGAAAGGCATGGCTAGACAATACATGTCCTTTGGCTCAGCACCTATAGCTCAGTGAGTAGGGCACCAGCCACATACACGAGACTGGTGGGTTCAAGCCCGGCCTGGGCCTGCTAATAACAATGACAACTGCAATCAAAAAATAGCCAGGCCAACGTTGTGGTGAGCACCTGTAGTCCTAGCTACTTGGGAGGCTGAGGCAAGAGAATCGCTTAAGCCCAAGAGTTTAAGTTTGCTCTGAGCTGTGATGCCAGAGCACTCTACTGAGGGCAACAGCTTGAGACTATGCCTCAAAATAAATACATAAATAAATACATGCCCTTCATTCTCAAGGTCTTTTGGCCATTCCTGTCCTTTCAGTACTTATTCATCCTAGCTCTGATTCTGCTAGCCCAGTGGCATCCTTTTGACATGAATTCACTCTGTCATGAATTCATGACATGAATTCACTCTGAAATACATCTTTTACTTCTGAAGCAGGATCTTGCTATCAGCTAGGGTAGAATGCAGTGGCTTCATCATAGCTCTCTGTAACCTTAAATTCCTGGGCTCAAGTGATCCCCTTGCCTTAGCTGGGATTACAGGCACATATCACCATGCATGGCTAATTTAAAAAAAAAAAAGAATTTTTGTAGAGATAGAATCTCACTACGTTGTTTAGGCTGGTTTCAAATCCCTGGTTTCAAGGTATCTTCCCATCTCAGCCTCCCAAAGTGCTAGGATTACAAGTGTGTGCCACCATGGCCAGCCTGCAATACATTTATTAAGTCCTTATTAGAAAGCTGGTAATTCTTTGCCATGCTTTTTGTTGTTGACATTATCCAGAAAGATTCTACTTAATGTCAATGTGTTATTATGATAACTGGCATTTGCTGATTCTCTAAAACATATGAACAGGCGAATATTAAGGTACTTTAACCTATTCCTCTTGTAAAGTTCTTTTGTTCATTTATTAACTACTTATTACATGCCAATTATATGTGAGGTGTACCATGTCCATTACCCATGTATCTCTACTGTCCTTTAATATCTTCCCCCTTTGCTGTCAGTGGCTGCCATTTGTGGCAAGCTGGAAGGTGGAGAGTAAGAAATTATACCTCCTGACTTTGTGGCACTCTCAGTGAGGGAATGCAGGGCCATGGCCAGAGCTATGAGAGCCTTGCTTCAGGTAGTGGCCTCAGTGACATAGCACCCGTGAGCTATGAGGACACATCTTTTTGCTTCTCTAACCCCAAGGACGGGAACTGCAATTATAAATCACTAGCCAAAATCATCAGACACTCCCTCTGTTTGCAATAAGTGTGTCTACTTCTCTGACACATAGGGCTAAAAGCTAAAAGGTACACCAAAACAGGTCTTGGTTGGATGTGGTGGCTCACATCTGAAATCTTAATACTCTGGGAGGCTGAGAAAGGAGAATAGATTCAAGACCAGCCTGAGCAAGAGCAATACCCCATCTCTACTAAAAATAGAAAAATTAGAAAGGTATTGTAGCAATGTGCCTGTAGTCCTAGCTACTCAGGTGGCTGGGGCAGGAGGATTGCTTGACCTCAGAAGATTGAGGTAGCAATAAGCTATGATGACTAGAATGCAGCATTCGAGTCTGCATTTAGCGCAAGACTATCTCAAAAACAAACTAATACCAAAATAAGACAGGCCTCTGTTCGGAAGTCTATGACATCAAGATGCAGTATCTTAGATAATCTGACTACACTGAACAGGCTCACCCTAGATTCCATCCATACTCTTTCTCCACCCACCATTCTCTTGCATGTCTACATATTTTTAACTACTATTTTCCTCTTTCTAGAACTACTTCCTATCACTTTTCTATTATTTCAAAACCTAACTCAGTTCTTCTAAAAGCTTCTTTATGGATGGCCCCTTGTTCTTTTACCCCATTTTAGCTCCTTTAGCAATGGCTTTGAATCTATATGCACCAAGAAGATGAATAAATTAATAAATAAAACTGCTTCACTGGCATTCATCATTTGAATTTTTCAACTGTATAAAACCTCATTTCTATTCACTGATTATTCAATAATTATTTCATACACATAAGTACCTAGAATTTGGGAACATTCAACTATTAAACACCTAAAGATTTTTTGACAGAGACAGTAAAATGCTAAAGGTATTTTGCAAATATCTACCACTTACAAATAAGAATTACTCTAAGAGGGCATAAAATAAAGGATATTTTACGTTTATGTTGATTCTTAAGGTGAAGAACAGGTAAGACTCTTCCAAATTTACTCACAACCCAATTCTAAAAGAAAAAAAGAATTTATTTATTATATGTCACAAGTGGAAAAGATTTACCATAAAAACATTACAGGCTCGGTGCCTGTGGCTCAGGTGGCTAAGGCACCAGCCACATACACCTAAGGTGGCAGGTTCGAATCCAGCCCAGGCCCGCCAAACAATAATAATGACGGCTGCAACCAAAAACTAGCCGGGCACTATGGTGGGTGCCTGTGGTCCCAGCTACTTGGGAGGCTGAGGCAGGAGACTCGTTTGAGCCCAGGAGTTGGAGATTGCTGTGAGCTGTGATGCCACAGCACTCTACCCAGGGGGACACCTTGAGGCTCTGTCTCCAAAAAAAAAAAAAAAAAAAAAACCATTACAGAAATATAATTTAAAAAACTGAACAACAGTGGGCTATGAATCCCGTTGGATTTAGTTTTCTGACAATGAAACAAGAATTTTCAATAAGAAAATGTATGAAAGGAAAGAAAGAACAGGAAATTTGGAGCAGCTATCAATCCAAATAAACTATGTAGGATGCTACATAAAAAAGTTAAGCCATTAAAAAATCAGACTTTGGACTTGCCTATACTCCTTACCACCTACATCCCTTCTGAGTTCATCTCTGCTTGGGTTTTGATTTCTCTCTGTAAAATGGTGGAGAACTACACTTACATAAAAATTGTAAATATACCTTAAAAATCACAAAGCACTATCTATATTATTTCATCAAAGCAAGGTAGAATACTGGCTTTACATGTGACAGTCACAATTATGTAGTCTCAGGCATCAGTTCCTGGGGTGGCACTGGCTACTGAGACCCACCTTGTGCCCTGGCACTTCTGTTCCTGGCACAGCTTTCATATGGAAATTTGCCCCTCCCATTTTTTCTAACAAGTTGGTGCTGCTTGTTAATTTTTCTTTTTTTGCTTTTGCTTCTTCTCTTTCTTGGGCCAATCTGCAGCAAAGAGAAAATAAAACTAAATAAAAGTTGAAATAATCAATCACGTAAAATGATTATTTCCCTTCAGGTGACCATAAATGAACAATATAAATTAAATAACTTTATAGTTTTGAAAACCAAAATAGAACAAATGCTTTGTTAATAGCATAATGGTATAATTTTCTGAGCACACAAGTTAGGTTTTCATTATAGAATATTGAACAATACAGGAACATGAAGAAAACAAACTATATTCCTTATCTCATATCCTAATGTTAACATTTGTCTACTTATTTCATATTCATTCTAGAGTAAATATATACATTTTAAAAGGTATCCAGATAATACTATAAATATAGTGGGTAACCTTTATCAACTTATCATCACATACTCATTGTAAACATTACTAGTTGCTGTACAACAGACCATTATATAAATCTATCGTAATTACTCACTAGTCTCCTACTGCCAGCAACTGAGCAGTACAGGGCTACAGCTTTTCTGTCAGGGCTGTTAAGCTAGACCATGGAGGTTTCTCTCCGCCTGGCCTGCCAACTCCAGTCAGGTTCCCTAAGCCCTAATATCCACTTCACTTCTGTGCTCTGCTCCAGCAGATGTCCCAGCTCCTTTTCCAGGAAGATGAAGACAATTGATCACGTTTCTCAAATTTCCCCTTTCAAATAAAGTAGTTTTGGTATTTTATGTATCCCTTCTCCCTTCACTCTCCTCCATAAGAAAGAGGTGTCATTCAGAGCCCAATTTGGTAAGTCTTGATTATTTCTACCTTCCTAATAAAGAGAATGCCATCTGAGCCTTCTGATGAAAATTATCCCACCCTACTTAAGCCTGGACAATTGTACTGACCAGCCTTCACTGGCCTCATTGCCTCTGATCTGTTTCCTTTATGTTCTACCTCCCGGAATGACCCAGAATGGCCATGATACTCATGCTCCTCAGGTACATCATCACAGGTACTCAATGACAGCAGCACTGTGAGTGCATGCTGCTCAGTATGGGGCCCCAGCACCTGCACGCAGTAAGCACTCAGGTACTACTGAATGAACAGTATATGACTATGCTGTTCACAGAGCCTCCAGCTGAAGAACAAAATCAGATCTCACCTTTTCTACAAATAAGTCCCCCCAGACATGATTCTAATAGGCTACCTGCCACATGTTTTAATCTGTATTTGTTCCTGGGACATTTTGTAGTCTAGAACAATCTCATCAACTTTCCTAGTTGCTCCATCTGTATATTCTTAAAGTCCCTCCTATTTGGAAAGTTCCCAAACTAATATCTTTTCTCCCTGATAATAACCTTATGACTTTAAAAGCTCTTGTTTTTTGATCATGTGCATAATTACTGTTATGCCTCTCATACAGGAATCTTCTATTATCTTTTTATCTTTGTGAAATAGTAACATTAATAAACAAAATCAACATAAACAATATAGTACTGTCTATTAAAATTTAAATGTAGATAAATCTAAGATTTAAGAGCTCTCTCTTTTGACATAAACTCCAGCGAAACACTTGTACAATTGCAGGAGACATGCTCAAGGATCATTTATGATCATGAAAAGGCAGAAACACAATAAATGTCCAGAGGGGAGAGACCAGCTATGCTGTGGTACAGACATTCTGAAATAGTACTAATAGCTATTATAAGGAAAAGGAAAAATTGACATAGTCATTTTTTTGTGTTAAAAAAGAGAAATTAAACACATATACATATGTACTTTTATAGCTTAATATATATATAGGTAAATGCCCTGAATTATCTTTTTTAGTAGGGGATTCAGAGTTGAGGAATATTTTAGCTCTACTTATTATGCTTGAATTTGCCAAGAATATAATATTTCTTTTTTTTCCCCCAGTTCTGGCCTGTGACTGGGCTTCAACCCACCGCCCCCAGTAAATGGGGCTGGTGCCCTACTCCTTGAGCCATAGGCGCCACCCCCAATATTTCTTGATAATTTCAAATAAATTAATATAGAAAACTACTTTTATGAAATAGGGTTTAAGTCCATATGGAGCAAAACTTACCTGTGCAAAAAGCTTTCTTTTGCTAGCTGAATTTGCAGTGTTCCACCTTTCCATTTTGTTTTATTTAAAACAGACATACCTATAAGATAAAGAAATATTACCCAAGTATATGGCAAAGTAAAAACATTTCAGCTTTTTCTAATTATTTAGTACTAAGAAGAGTAGACTTGTTAGTCACAACAAGACACAGAGGAAGTAGAATAAGGAAAATAAGACCTGAAGGGAGGGAACCTAGGACCTGTCTCATGTAGCCCACTTACCAAAATGGTTCACATACACCCTATCTCACCATGTCAGTTGACTGGAATGAGGCAAAACATGTAAAGTATACAACAAAATTTGCAATTTGTTTATAAACCATCAGACATTTATTTAATATTTCATTGTTATTTCCTAGATGTAACTACAAAACATTAATGCAATCTTTTCAGGGTAAATCAGAGAACACTTTGGAATGCTATAGTATTTTTTTTCCCCCAAGCTATAGCAGCTCGCTGGAACGGGAATTCAGTGTCCAGTTGTTTCTTTTCTTTTCTAAAATTTTTGTAGAGACAGGGTCTTACTGTGTTGTCCAGGGTGGTCTTGAACTCCTGGTCTCAAGCAATCCTCCTGCCTCAGACTCCCAAAGGGCTAGGAGTACCAGCAAGAGGAAACTTGCCTGAATAGCAGCACCTTACTTTTATTTATCACCTCATACTAACTATTACTATATACCTTGCAAATGAATTAACTACAAATGAATGAACTGTATTTGAACTGCTATGCCCTAGCAGCTGATTTTTCTGAATATCAGTTTCCTTAATAACCACTAACAGATGGAATTTTTCAGGTGGTAGGCACTATACTAAATACAAATTTACCACTTAATCCTCATAGAACACTATGAGGCAAGTGCTTTACTTTGTCATCCATCAAATAAGCAAATTGAGATGTAAAAGTTTAAATAACTTGCCACAGGTCACATAGCCTAGCTGATGTATTCTCCACAACTTCTCAACTGTCACACATTTCCTCACTGAACAACAAAATAAAGCAATCTTTTTGCACATTAAATTATAAAAGACTGACACCCTTCTTCATCTATTAGCATGTTCTCTTTACTTATTTTTTTAATGTCTTTTGATTTTTCTGTCTCTAATAGGATACACTGCTGCACCTGTGACTGTGGATTATCTCTCCTTCCGTCTTCCTTGAAGGACACTATTTGACCTTGGCTTTTTTTTTTTTTT